TTTTAACCAGTTCCATATCATCCCTGGAATCGCACAAATGAAGCAAGGTTTTCAACTCCTCCTTCAAGATGAGCTTGTTCTGAGTCAATTTCTCTTCCATGTTTCTCAGATAGGTTGCTGGAAGAAAGCATGGTTTAATGTCATCATTCAGGCTGACTGGGACTATCAGGAATCTGACCTCAAGAAGAAGGGGAAGCTGGATCCTGGTACACTGCAAAGGGGCACTTAGAGGGGCTTATGGCCATGTTGCTCCCATCACTGGCTAGTCTTCTCAAGAACAGTGTCACAGAAGGTCTGTGAAGCAAATTCTCTGTGCTATAGGCTGAAAGCTCACTCAGAACTTTGTAACATACAATTTCTGGGAGTACGAACACAAGAATATGCAATTTTGACTACCTTGGTGATTCACACATTAAAGTTTAAAAACTCATGTCCCAGAGACTTACCTCAAAGAACTGCCCCTATAGGTGACCCATTAGGAGACTTAAAAAAAAAAAAAAAAAAAAGTAATCAAGATATCCAAACTATCAACTGGTAGGGTACCTAGCAGGAGGAGTGAAAGGAAAATATGCAATGAAGGTGGGTTTGCCCCAGTGGTTGACCCACACCATTCAGGAATATTTCACGTCTCTTTCATTTGGTTCAACTCTACTGCTCATTTCTCTTGGTCTCCCTACTCAGTTGTCAGAAAGCATGCCACAGTACTACAGAATGCACAGGGGGTTAAAAACAAAACAAAACAAAACAAAACAAAACTACCCTCTAAACAGCCGCAAACACTCTCTGTAACAGAATCAGATCAAGGTGATTATACTCAATCTCTGTTCCCTGCCTTGTATTTAGTTGACTATGGAAACAAATACCAAAAGGAAACACTGCTTCTTGGCATTAGGAAAGGACCAGATTCTCAGCAAAATGCGGGGTGAGATATGGCAGCACCAAAGAAGCATGTGAGCTGCCAAGAGAAGTCTACAGGGTTTGCTCCAAGACGCAGAGCTTTGAAGGAAGGCTGCTTAAAGGAATGGCACAATACACATTAAAACACAAGGAAGCTGAGGCAGACACTGTTCTCAGTTTACAAGAAAGGAAGGCCCACCTGGTTTAGGTTAATGCTATGGACTCTCCAACCTTTATTTGCAGAACAATATCACAGTTAAAGGTTTCCATACAGATGGAAGGACCTGGGCTCTCTGCCCCTGATATGCTATGGGGAGATGCTTGCTTGTGAGACTTGATTTCTCATGAGTAAAGTGAGGATCATGAAAGCTACCTCATGGGATATCCTGAGATAATATATGTTAAGCATTTAGCACAGGACCTAGCATATAGTAACTGCCAGTAAATCATACACACTGTTCGCATTTTCATTCTGTCCCCTGTCAGATTTAAGTGAATTTATTCTATTAACTGTTTCTAAACAGTTTCTAGTACAAAAAATTTTAATGAGATGACTTTATATCTTATACTTTTTAATAACCCTTAAGAATCCAAAATTTCAATAGATGTTAATTCACATTTTAAAACAAATAATCAAGATTTAAGTGCTTGTAACACAGAGAAAGCTTAGTTATGGTTCCTGCCCTGAAAGAACTTAGTCTTTTTGAGAAAATAAGATACATTTATACAAAGCTATCTGAAAATGATGGGGTAGTGACAAGTGACCAACTATATACATGATACAGAAAAAATGAAATTAGGGTGGCAGAAACAGACCAGATCTGAGTGGAGAAGTACCAGAGAGAAAGGAAGGGGCTGGACAGGACTCGGAGAAACTCATAAGAGGGGAGCATTCTTGGTATGACAATCAGCATAAATAATATCACAGAATGGGGGTGAGGGGTGATGAGGGGAGAACTGTGACTAGATTAACAGGAAATCATACTGGACTCCAGAAAGGGTAAGGTCCACTATGGAGGAGCAAGGAAGCCAGGGAGTTGTGTACACAATGTGATGTATGACAGAGGACGATTGTGGGTTCTCATAATGAAGAAATGTTGACAGGATTTTATAAATATCAATCTGACCATGGAGTAAATTGGCACTCATTATATTAATTGCCTTTCAGAACATATGCACAACTGTCACAGCCTTAGAATGACTATGACAATTGGATTTAACTAGAAAATGACACGAACCCCTAATTCTGCCAACTTCACAAAGCTCCAAAAGGTAAAGAGGTAAAAAGAAGAGTGAGGTAAAATACAGACTGAGTCTCCCACACTGAAGATGAACATATTCTCCCTCACTTTTAAAGCTTATGTTCTCATTCCACACGTGGTATAATGTAACAATACGATTAGTGGAGAGGTGAGGAAAGACTGATTTCTGGAGGGCTAGAAGCAATAAGTATTAAGTGCTCATAAACATCTGAAAGGGAGAATAAGGAGATTTGAAGAAGTCAGCAGGGACAAACTAAACTGTTACTGAAAGAGACGAGAATATCCAGAATATCGTTACGTTTTAAAGGAATTTAAAGTACTGGAAAAAATGTGCAGGAGAGAGGGAATAAATTCAACAAGATTTCCCAGATGCTGAAAGGAGTAAGACCTAGTGTGGTGGTGTGTTTTCAGCTTTTTGTAAAAAATATTCAAACATAGCCCAAAACAGGGATAGAACGTTATGCTCTCCTGTGTCCATCACCCAGGCTCAATAATGACTAATATTTTGATAATTAAAAAAAAAAAAATCTTTGTTTTAGTCCATTGAATTTTTTAGCTGAGGAGCAAAATATGAAAATGCATCACAGGGGGCACGTGGGTGGCTCAGTCTGCTGAGCTTCCAACTCTTAATTTCAGCTAAGGTCATGATCTCAGGGTCACTGGATCAAGTGTGCTCCCCCCTACCCCTCACTCTCTCTCAAATAAATATTAAAAAAAAAAAGAAAGAAAGAAAGTGCATCACACATGGGACGGTTTTGTTTCACTGTATTTCACTTGTGTTTGAAGATGCATGTGTATACTGGAGATACTATGTAAAATGTACTTTTTACTCAGAGGTGCATCAAAAATGTGAAAGCAAATCATCTTGAGCAGTTCTCTGACTTTACTGTGCATATTAACAGTCTGGGGCTTCAAGTTTCATATTTCTATGAAACTCCCAGATGCTGCTGACCCTTGATCCTTAGTCTGGGTCCTCTAGAGAGGACTGGTTCCAACACTAATTTTAGCATTTCTCTGCGATCCTGGGAAAAGTGACAAGAGGAGATGGTAGACTATAGGAGTAGAAAATGAGATGAAAAGTACATTTAGGGATAGACTAGGAAATTAAAGAATCCATGTCAATTTTTTCTCAAAGATCACTGAAGGAGACTGAACAGCGATAAAGACAGAAAAAACCTGAATGACACATCACTGAAAGAATTAACAAAATAGATTCAATTACCTTTGGTGCCAGGAAGATGATATGCAATAGCCACCTTCTTGTGCTGAAATTCTTCCAATTTCACAATACTATCTGTAAGTAGGTATCTTTTAGCTAAAAAACAATGAAAAAAGTAAAATGATTTTCACTACCTTGTACTAAGCAAAAACATGCATAGAACTTGATTGCCTCTAATAACTGATCTTCACTTAATATAAATAATCTATCTGGACAGCTACAAGTAAGTCACTCTGGTGGAAAAGTAAACATCTCTAAACTATCAGAGAATTCAAATTCTCAGCAAGTTTCGTTTTTGTGTGTGAAAGGAGCTAGTGATTAACTGTATGGACATGGGTTGAGAGGAATCTGGGACATGAAAGACAAATATACATTCCCCATCTAGTTATGGGATTACAAGCGAATAAAAAAACAAAAGCACAAAACTAAAGGTTACTGTCTAAACGTCAGACTAGTAGGTCTAGTTTTGGTTTAACTAGGTGGAAACTCATAGTGTAGTGCAAACAGCTAGAGTGTGACCATTGTAATTCCCGGTTCTGCCATTTGTGAAATCAGGAGTTAAGGCCTCTCAGAACTGGACTGTCGGTATCCTCATGATGTAACAGAAATCACTGACCACTGCTTAGTAGAAATGTTTGGGAAACGTTTTTTTCTTTCGGATGCGTGCCTGTGCATGGAGTGGAGCTTGGTCAAAGAATCATGCACTGAAGACCTCTCTATACCGCAATAACAGGTTACCAGTAAAAAGTGTTGTCTGTTTATGGAAGAGAGCCCAGAGAACTGTTAGGGCAGGGCTGTCCTATTGTGCTGCCTGAGTGCAAATCCCACCTTGGGCTAATGACTTGGCCTTGCTGTCTCCACTTCCTTAGAAAAAAGAACGGAACCTCCCTCACTGGGGGTTGTGAGCAGAAAAGGAATTAAAATACGTAAAATGCATAGAGTAACACCTGACACCAAGTGTTAAGTATTTTATTATCACTCACCAGTATATTCAAAGTTCATTTCCGTAAACTTATTAAGGGACAATTTTACAGATGAAAAAACCTGCACAAGGTCTTTCGGGTTATTAGCGGCAGAGCTGGGGCGCGAAACTCGGAGAGGCAGAGCTCTGCTACCAAACTGCAGGACAGTCCACCCAAGAGAGAGAGGGATTTCCAGACAACAGCGTCACCTCTTCCGAGGGACTACTACAGCGCCAAGGTCGAGACCTCAGCCTAGCTGGGCTGCACAGGCACGCAACCAGAGGACGAGAGAGCAAGCCGCGGGGCTCCAGGTCAGTGAGTGACTGAGGCGCTATTATTTTCCCCAAGTGATGCCTGCTGAGGTGTCAATCTCCCTTCTTTCCCATTCCTCCCCTCCTTCACGACCAGAGGCCGCAGATACCTCCAAGAGGGCAGCGGCAGCACGTGGAGCCTGAGCCTTTCACCCCAGGATACACCGAACTCCGCAGCGCCTGCAGAAGGTCGTGCTTCGGCAGGCGAATTGTGGCAGCCATGCTGTCCCGGGCCACACCAACCACGGGACCTGGGGAGGGGGGCGGAGCGTCGGCCTATGACCCCACCCCTTCCTCTGCCCGCAATCCCTGGACGTTCGTCCTCTTGGTATGTTCCAAGATGGCAGCTCCCATAGTGAGGCGCTGGTTTCTTGTGGCGCGGAAAGTGCCTCTGCCTCCGCTCTTCTTGGCAGGTTGGTGGCTGTTCTGCTTCTGTGGGGCTACTTCTTTAGTCACCTGAGAGCTCTTCCTTAAGTGAAGGGAACCGTGGGCTCTCAAGAGGACAGCAAATACTTCTGGGATCTAGTTGCTAGAGAAACCATTTGGAGCGTTAGGTAGCGCGGAAAGGGGAAGTGTGGCCTCGGATCCGTCTTCTTTTTTTTTTTTTTTTTTTATTTTTTTTTTTTATTTGACAGACAGAGATCACAAGTAGGCAGAGAGGCAGGCAGAGAGAGAGAGGAAGGGAAGCAGGCTCCCTGCTGAGCAGAGAGCCTGATGCGGGGCTCGATTCCAGGATTCTGGGATCATGACCTGAGCCGAAGGCAGCGGCTTTAACCCACTGAGCCACCCAGGCGACCCTCGGATCCGTCTTCTTACCCAAAATACTGCCTGCCCGTCCAGAGGTGTGCAGAGTAGATGAAGTTAAGGCATGAGGTCTTTTGCGTAAAATTTGCAAGGTTTGTGTGTTAGGGTGGTCGTTTCTTTGCTGACCATGAAGAGCCCAAATGTTCCCACTTCAGAGCTAGGAAGTTTTCCTCTCTGCTTAAGTGTCTTTGAAGGGGCATCCTAAACCTGTTTCTCAACACTTCACAATTGAAGACTTTTGGTCTCCACTTGGGATAAGAATTTCAGTACTGGGGCGCCTGGGTGGCTCAGTGGGTTAAAGCCTCTGCCTTAGGCTCGGGTCATGATCCCAGGGTCCTGGGATCAAGCCCCATATCGGGCTTTCTGCTCAGTGGGAAGCCTGCCTCCTCCTCTCTCTCTCTCTCTGCCTGCTTGTGATCTTTGTCTGTCAAATAAATAAATAAAATCTTAAAAAAAAAAAAAAAGAATTTCAGTACTAATTTCTCATCCGACGACCTGGGGCACAACTTTTTGAGTGACCTTTCTATGCCACAGTTTTCCACGTGTAGAGGCAATAGCTACTTCCCGAGTATAGTTGACCCGAGAACAGCTCAGGGGTTAGGGGCACGATGCCAGGCAGTTGGAAAATCGTGGGTAAGTTTTGACTCCCCCCGCACTTAAGCCTACTGTTGACCTTACCCATAACAGTACATTAACACTTATTTTTTATGTTTCTTGTAATTGTATAGTGTGTTCTTAAAGTGAGCTACGGAAAATGTTACTAAAATCTTAAGGAAACTAAGCTTTAGAGAACTATACTGTATGTACTGAAAAAAAAAAAAAGCAAAGCTGTGTTAAGTGGACCCGTGCAGTTCAGAGTGGTATTCAAGGGTCAACTGTACTTGGGTATTTGAGTAAATGGCATCTCACTCAAAACGTTTTTAATGGATCTGCGCAAAGGCATTAGGAAAAGTTGATATTTATACAAGCTAAATCCTGATAGGTGTATGCTTATATGACTAAAATGCAATAATCACAGTTGATGTTTCCAGTGCCTTTTATCTTCTCTTTCCAACATACTTCTAGCTCCTATTAAAAACCAACACTTACGCTGTTGTTCACAGTTCTTTAGGAACAGCTATTAAATATCAATTGAAAACGTCATTGTTGGCCTCCAGGTTTTCTGAGGATTAACTGGTTGACCTAGCAGGTGAAAATGTTTAGTGCCACACATTAGGTAAAGTGGTATGTACAGTACCTGGTGTCTCTTTGAGAACTAGCTGCTGTACCTGTTTGCTAGCATGCTTAATTTTATGGTTCTTAATAAATGCTTTTCAATTTACACAGGATCTTGAATTGTGTATCAGGGAGACTATCATGGTTGCATAGTGTTTGAGGCAATCATCTAATATTAGATAAGGGTGAACTGAGAGAATTTCCAGTTAACATTTTGTTCTTAAACTGGTGAACTTATAGTGGGATATACCTGTGTTGTTACATTGTAGTAACTACTAGCTACATGTGGCTATTGAAATTAGTCAAACAAATAAAATAAGAAATTCGGGTTTTTTTTAGTCATTAACCACATTTTAAGTGTTTAGTAGAGACGTGTAGTTAGTGGCCACAGTTGCACAGCTCAGAATTGAACATTTTCATCATTAGGTTCTATTGAATAAGCACTAAGTTAGATCATAGAAGCAAGGAGTCCTGAAAATCAGGATCTGGGAAGTTATAAGGCAAGTGGTAGAAGTATGACAGATAGTGCATTAGGGACCATCCCAGATTTGAGAATGCAGATAAGATGATTGACTTTTAAGTCAGCATAACATCTTGAGCCATTAAAGAATAAGGGGTGTGGGGTGTACTTGGTATAAACTAGAAAAGTGATTTAAATTTATGAAAAGAGTACAGATAGCAAATTTATTGGGACCTATTATGTAGTGAACATTCGAGTAGGCACTTAACATGCCCTCATTTCAACTGTTTAACAAGGCAATCTATTTTACATATGAAAGAGGCTCAGAGACTGTGCAGCTTTCCCACGTTTCATACCATTTATTAACCAGGCAAGGATTCCAGCTTAAGACTTTGTGACTAAGGTGTATCTGTGTTAACAATCACACTGGTTTTCTTTGGATGGAAAACATTTGGAGACATTGGTCTGAAGGCCAAAATAACTGTAAAATGCGTAAGTATACAGAACCAATCACTTTTCACTAAACTTTGAAATTCTGGTCTTCAGAGGTATCTTTTCTAGAATTGAATAGAGAAAATATTTCTTTTGATGGTGGAGAGTTCTATCTTAGAGAATATGGTTGCCTTCAAAGCTAACTGGCTGAAGGATAACCAAGTTCAAGAAAGGTTTATATATACTATTGGGTGGCATTTGCAGAGTGGGATTAATCAGACAGACCTAAACCTGGGAGGCTATTAACGTTTTATCCACTTACTACTTCAGTCTTGTCTGAGGATTAATACTCTATCACGTGGAAAGTTGTTAGAAATAGAGTCTTTGTCGCTACTGAAGACCACTGAATTAGAACCTTAATTTTTATCAAGGTTCACATACACATTAAAGTTTAAGAAACTGATTTAGATTTTTCCACTTTACCATTGTTCACGCAGTTTAACATTCTGACTTCAAGGAAATCTTTGATTCTAATGTTAATATGCAGACCTTGCAATTACTATACAGAAATGCAAAGATTTTTTAAATGACATCATTTGTAAGGTATCAGAAAGATAAACATTTTGCTTTAAAAGGCTTACAAAAATGGAATGTTTATCTTAAGGTGTAGTAATTTACTACTGCTGTTGTAACAAATTACCACAAATTAGGTGGTTTAAAACCATACAGGTATTATTGTACAGTTCTGTAGGTCGGAAGTCCGACATAGGGTCTTTCTGTGCTAAATTCAAGATGTTGAAAAAGATGGGTTTTCTTCAGCAGTCTCTAGGGGAAAATCTGTTTCCATGTCTTTTCCTTCTTTGGGAGACCCCTTACATGCCTTGGCTAATGCTCCCCTTTTTCAAACATCTTGAACATGAGCAAGTCAAGGCTTTATATCACTCCGTCCTTCACACATCATAGTGTTGCAGGATTTTTTTTCTCTGTTGGAGCCTGCAGTTCTTGGTCATGCCATTTCAAAGAATGAAGAGTTAGACCAGACAGAGTGGTGGGCATCAAAGCAGGGTTTATTGAGCAATAACAAAGTCATAGTACAAGTTCCCAAAGGGGCTGCCACAGGAGTTTTTTATGGGCTTGTTGGTGGGCTGGTTCAATCTGATTAATTCTCCCTGTACCTGTCATCCAAGCAGATTTTTATGTCACGTATCTATCTTACGGGAAAGGGTGGAGGCCTCCTTCCAGAGTGATGTAAAATCCTTTTAAGTCTGGTTTCCTCTTGGGGGGCAGGGGTTTGTCCCTGCCTGACTGCCTTCCAATAATCCTTCATCAGTAGTACCTGCCTTCTCCCCTTTTCACTTATAAAGACCTTGTGATTACATTGGGCTCACCTGGATAACCCAGTACAGTCGCCTCATTTTAACACTGATTGATTTGGTGATCTTAACCTCAATACCCTTGAGCTGTGTATCCTAACATTCACAGGCTGTGGAGATTAAGACGTGGACATCTTGGGCCTCCTGGGTGGCTCAGTGGGTTAAAGCCTCTGCCTTCGGCTTGCAGCATGATCCCAGCGTCCTGGGATCAAGCCCCATGTTGGGATCTCTGCTCAACGGGGAGCCTGCTTACCCCTCTCTCTCTGAGTGCCTCTCTGCCTACCTGTGATCTCTGTCAAATAAATAAAATCTTAAAAAAAAAAAAGACATGGACATCTTTTGGAGGGTCATTATTCTGCCTACTAGACTTGGCCATTCATTCCTACATTTATCATCAGTTTCTTTTGGTCTAGGAAAATTTTCCATTTGCCAGATATAATTTCTTCATCCTTGAATCCATATCCTTTTGTTCTATACTCAGTGGAAATGGAAAATGATTATTGGTTACTTTCTTATAAAGCAAACATTTAAAGGTTCATGTATATAAGAGTTGCTGGGTTTGCCTTTTATAGATTTACTGGTCCTCATTTGTTTGTTTTCAGTTCATGTGACCTTCTTGAACAACTGTACACAAAGTGCATTCTTGGACTCCTGTCTTTCCCCACCTTTACCTTCCCTGCTTTTTTGTCTTCCCATTAGAAACTCTTTGAACATTTACATTCATCGTTGTCTTTTTTGACTCCAGAATATGAAAGGGTGATTTCTTATGCTAGAAGCATATGCTAGAAGAAGAAACAGAGAATAAGTAAGAAATTATAATAATAATAGAGAATAAGTCACTGGTATCCTGAAGTTTATATAGCTTAATAGTCCTTAGCTCGAGCTCACATACAGAAGAGCTGCTTTTGTTTCCACAGAAAGGAGACAGCTTCCTGGTTTTAGAAATTGAAATTCAGTTTGTAAAGAAATGCTGCTATAAATTATGAATGGGTTAGCTGAATTTATTCTTTTGCTTCTGTGTAAGAACATGCAGAGGGACCTTAACAGTCACCAAGGTCAGCTCCTTCGTTTGTAACTGCAAGATCTCTAGTTTTCTACCAGCTGGTAAAATTCAGACCAAATCTCAGGTCTCCCACTCCTGACTTGTGCAGCTACACAGCTAATGCCATTGGATTTTATTCATCCTTCTTGGCAAATCTAGGAGTGTAACTAACAATTTATAACATCATTTCTATGAAAAATGTGTGCTTGGAAAAAATATGAAAAATGTTTCTATGAAAATGTACTATGCCAAGCATCTAATTTTTTTTTAATAATCCACTTGAAGTGTAGGCACTTTTTAATAGTTATTATTTCTTTAAAAATATCTTAGTTCCTCTTTGAGACAGTCTTTGGAAGCTTTTTCATATTACTGCATCATTGCTTAAGCTCTAGACCTCAAATTTAGCATGTTATTCTAGTAAAGTTTTGACCTGTAATTACGGTAACGGAGGGTAACTCCCTTTAATTAAGGTAATAAGGTAACTCCCACAGTTACCTTATTAAAGTCGCGTTATGACTTCATAAAGTTGCGTTATGAACTTTGTGTGACCTTGAGATACTTACCTGCAATTCCTTCCTTCCTTTTTTTCCCCTTGTAAATAGCTTTATTGAGATACAACTCACATATCATTACAATTCACCCCTTTCAATAATTCAATGCCATGGTTCTTTTTTTTTTTTTTAATATATATACACACAGTGTTGTACAATCATCACTTAGCACATTTTTATCACTTCAGAAAACCCCTTGTAGTCATTAGTAGTCACTCCCTGTTTTCCTACAAGCTTTCCTGACTATCTCCTCTCCAGTTCTAGGCAACCATTAATCTGCTGTTTCTACGGATTTACCTGTTATCTGCATTTCATATAAGTGGAGTTATGTAATACGTGGCCTTTTGTGACTGGCTTCTTTTTCAGTTAACAAAGTTTTCAAGGTCCATCCATTTGTAGCCTGTATCAGTACTTCATTTCTTTTTATTGCCAAATACTATTCTGTTTAAGAATTTATCACATTTTGGGGGCGCTTGGGTGGCTCAGTGGGTTAAGCCTCTGCCTTGGGCTTGGGTCATGATCTCAGGGTCCTGGGATCGAGCCCCACATCAGGCTCTCTGCTCAGTGGGGAGCCTGCTTCCTCCTCTCTCTCTCTGCTTGCTTCTGATCTCTGTCTGTCAAACAAATAAATAAAATCTTTAAAAAAAAAGAATTTATCACATTTTGTTTATCTTTTTATTAGTTGTTGGATATTTGCATTATTTTCACTTTGGGGCTATTATAAATATTGCTATACAAATTTTTGTTTGCATACATGATTTTATTTTTCCTGGATATATACCTAGGAGTGAGATTGTTGGGTTGCATGGTAACTGCATGTTAATGATGTAGGAAAGACGTTAGGGTTCCAAGTCGAAGGCCAAAACCAAATTCTTGAGACGTCTTGGGTGCAGAAATGTGGTTGTATTAAAGTACGAGGACTAGAGGGCAGAAAGAGCTGCACGGGGGTCATGAGGAGTGGCCCATTATGTACTTTCAAGTTGGGCAAGCCAGGATCCTGAGGGGGTTAGCTGTTGTTAGGAAAGGTCATTTATTACTGTGTAGTAAAAACTCAGTTTGTGAGATCCTTCAGATGTATATCAATGGTTCATATACTTGGGGGATAATTGCCAACATGTATCCTGAGGGGTAGAGATAAAGGAAGTTTCCAAAGGAATTTTTTATATGTGAAAGTAGACTACAGGGGCTTGGGGGTTGGGCTAAGATTGCCTGTTGCCCTTAGCAAAGTATCAACGTAAAGGCAGTTGAGTCCTTAGGAAAATGTGACTCTGTTTCAAGGACTTGTCAGTGGGCTATATGTAGAAAGGAAATTTAATAATTTTTCTTTTGTCTTTGTTTCCCATATCATTAACATTTTGAGGAGCTGCCAAACTTTTCCAAAGTGGCTGCACCATTTTACATTGTCACCTACAATATATGAGGGTTCCAGTTTCTCTACATCCTTATCAATAGCTGTTATTTTCTTTTTAATTATAGTCACCAAACTTTTCCAAAGTGGCTGCACCATTTTACATTGTCACCTACAATATATGAGGGTTCCAGTTTCTCTACATCCTTATCAATAGCTGTTATTTTCTTTTTAATTATAGTCATTCTAGTGAGTATCAAGTTGTATTTCAGTGTATTTCCATAATGGCAAATCATATTAAACATCTGCCCATGCACTTGTTGGGAATTTATATGCGCTTTTTTGTTTGTTTTTAAGAAATGTCTATTCACACCCTTTGCCCAGTTTTCAGTGGGTTGTCTTTTTTTAAATTTTGATTTGTAAGAGCCATTTACATATTCTGGGTATAAGTCCCTTATCAGGTAAGTAATTTGCAAATATTTCCTCCATTCTGTGAGTTGTCCTTTCACTTTCTTAATGGTGTCCTTTGAAACACAAAAGGTTGTAGTTTTGGTTAATTAAGTTGCTGCTCATTCTTTTTCATTCGTTTCTTGAGCTCATGTTTGTCAAGCCTTGCCATATACCAGTCCTTGTGCTGGGTGCTGGGAATACAGTTATGCCATCTAATGAGTTACCTTAATTCTGGCTTGCTTGGTTTCTCTTATATACCACAAGTGTAAGATACCCTTGTTTTATGTGAAGTAAGGATAAATATGCTGATCCAAGTCAGATGGAAATATTTTTAGGAATAACTAATGATTATAAAGCATTTGATTAATGAGTTAATCAACAGTTCAGCAAGTATTTGGGTTCTACGAAGGAGTTCTAGGGCTCACTTAGGCTATAATTTAGGGACAACAAATGGCTTCTAGTCCTAAAGTTATAGGAACAAATTACCAGCATTCTTAACCATAACATCATTGTAGAAATTTCCAGTTTTTCTGTATTTTCTGCTTGTTAGAAGTGGAATGCATGTTGCCATGAACTGATGTATGAACTCTGAGATATTGGTTATAGTATCATACTAGAATCTTTATATAACCTAGTACATTGAAAATATGACAAACTATGGTTAATAAGATATAAACTGAACCTGTTGTGGAGCCGCACCTGTTAATTACTGACTTTTTCCTCAGGGGAAAGAGGCTTGCTTTCTGCAGCTTATGTGGACAGTCACAAGTGGGAAGCAAGAGAAAAAGAACATTGTCACCTCGGTAGGTACCTATTGGGCTGTTAGATATGTCATGTAAGTCACTCTATGTTTACCATTATGTTCGTATGCTATATTTATGAAGTGATGCTTTTATGATGACCCCATTCAGATAAGCACATTTTGAGTCTTAAAAAGAATTAGACTGTTATTTTGCATGTGGCAAAATCATTTTTGCTGTCCTGCAAATTTCTATTTCATTTTTGCCTTGATTAGTCTGCCTAAATTAGGTGAACATTTCTCTTCTTTCTTGTTTTTTGTCCATTTTAGTCATATAGTTAATTACCATGCAGGCTGTCTCTGTTTTATATTATCGGCAGAGAAAGATACATTTTACATTTTCATCCTTTTTTATTGTCATTTCTTAACTTGTGGTCTTTATTTTATTTTCTATTTTATTACCAGTGTTATAATCTCTTTTCTGTTTTATTACCAGTGTTACAATCTCATATAAACCATTTAGGGAAAATAGTTGGTGAACATCTTCTCAGGCAGTAGGCTCCTAATTATATTTCCCTTTCCTTGTTCTCTAGGTCATATTACACAGCAGCCTTTCTTTTCTATAGTAACAAGGCCTACGGGCACCTGTGTGGCTCAGTCAGTGAAGTGTTGACTTTAACTCTTGGTTTCAGTTAAGGTCATGATCTCAGGGTTGTGAGATCAATCCCCACATCTGGCTCCACACTCAGCTTGGAGTCTGCTTTAGATTCTCTTTCCCTTTCCCTACCCCTCATATCCTCTCTCTAAATAAATGAAATCTCTAAAAGAAGTCACTGACACTATGAGCACTTTGTAAATATGTAATATACATTATATGTAACATTATGAGGACATAGATAAAGTCAGATGATTGGCGATGGTTTTATGGGACTGATGTAATTTTTTGATCAATTCCAGTGCTGATCTAATATTCTCCCCCAGATTTCTTTCTCTGCTTTTTTGGGGGCTTATATTAAAGAATAAAGTATCCCCGTGTTTATGGATTCTTCTAATAAGTGGTGGGGAGGGAGGAGAGAGACATTCCTTTGTAGCTGTCTATAATGGCTAGCTTGGGCTGGGGAGGGGTTTCAAAGAACTTATCATTTTCTCCCCTGATGATGTTATTGCAAGAACAAAATTGGTTTGTACGTCCTGGAATGGCTATGTAGGCAGGGGCTAATAAGCAAAGCAGAGCTGTGGAGAATCTGAAGGTAAGTAACTACGTACTTGCACTGAAATGTAGAATCACTGAGTAGATAGAAATGCGGATGGCTACAGATGTGGTATGCTGGTAAAGTCCAATATCAGGAGTGACATTATCGTGTGGGACACAATTTTATTCACAAAATGGCGAACACTCTCAGTAAAGTTTTGAACATATCTAATTACCCTCTTCAGTTTACATGGTAGTTGCATCTATGGAAGATTCAGTTTATTTTCATATTTCGCCCAAAAAAGTACTTTGCCTTTGTTTATATGTAGAATGGAATCAGTTCTGTCCATTATCAACAGGTTGATTTTTGTGTGTGTGTGTGTTAATGCCTGCCCTGTTGTAGATGCCATGGTATGTGGGGCAGATATTTTAACTTTTTATTTGTAAATAGTTTTAAACTTACAAAAACTTGTAAGAGTAATACAAAGAGCATCTATATACTCTTTGCCCAGATTCACCAGTTGTCATTATTTTGACCCTTTTGTTTTTGCTTTCTCATTCTCTACACACACATTTTATTTTTTTTAACCATTTGAGAGTTTGTTACATATCTTATAGCCCAATAAGCTGAGTGCTTTGGTGTACATTACCTGATATTTTTTAAGAAGCCAGTCTCTTTTTTTAATAGAATATTCCTCTTTGGGGATTTGTCTTGTATTTCTTCTTAATTAGATTCAAGAAACGGTCCTCTGGCCAAAATATTGTCAGTAATGTTGTGTCCTTCTCAGGATGTCTTCTCATCTAGAGACACCTGATGTCCATCTGCCCTCACTGGTAAGGTTAACTTTGATCACCCAGTCAAGTGTGTGTGATTTTTTACCCTGGAGGGTTACTGTTTTTCTCCATTGTGACTAATAGGCAATCTGTGGGGAGATACTTTAATATCATGCCAGTGTCCTGCTGCTTATCAAAAGTTTCCCCCTAAGTTTAGTATCCATTTAGCTTCTTGCCTGAATCAATCCTTACTATGGTGGTTGCAAAATGGTGGTTTTCCAGTTCGTTAATACCTCCACATTTAGTAACTAGTACTCAGTATTATAATGTAAATAAGAGCGTTCCATTCCCTCCCATTTCTTTCTGTGTTTACTATTAGTATGGTCTTGGGTATTGTGAATTCCTCTTTTTCTTTTAATGATTTATTACCATCCTTGTTATTTATATAACAAATTTATATAACAATTTATAAATTTTTCCAGTGTTGGGTGGTAGAATCCTTTCAACCAGACTCATCTTGTACCTTTCCTGCTCCAGCCCTGGAATTAACTATTTCTCCAAGGAGTCCTGGTTCCTTTTCATAAGGAATGGTATTAGAAACCAAGATCTGTGCACTAGTTGTCCTCTTGCTACCGTGCAGTTTTTGCTTCTTGGCCTATTCAGTGACTAGAACTAGCAAAAATATATATACATAGCCACATAAACATATATGCACATTTACGCACATAAGCTTATGTGAACATATTTTACAAATAATGAGTTCATGCTGTGAACATATTTTACAAATGAGTTCATCCCTACAGAGTTCTTCCTTGCCTTCCCTAGGCCATAGTTGTATCAGCTTTCTATACTAAAAGTCTGGCTCCCAACAGGGACAATGTTTGATGTGTTGGACAGTCTCTGCGTTGCAGGTTATCTAATTTTCCTATCTTCTGCTCATGCAGTACTCCCAGCAGTCATTGTGATAGTCAGAAAACACCCCCATATTTTAATTACCCTCAGGGGTTCTTTTTAGGAACCACCGGTCCAATGATGAAACCAACAACAGCTTGTTCTGATATGCCATTCACGACTGTAAGAGTAGTGCTGTGGAAGTGCAGAGAAGAAAATGAAGAATTTTGGGAAAGCAATTGTTAACACTTTCCTAGGCATGAAGGGAAGATTAAAAAAGACTGTTGTATTTGGTGCCTTGGTATAGGATATAGTCAGCTCTTTGTTATTAGGGGACAAATTTATGGGAACTTTTACATAGATTCCTGAATAAGCAGAAGCTGTTTGCCAAAGAATGAGTATAGTATGTATGCAATAAATAAATATCAAATGTAGATAACTAGACAGTTATTAAGATTGGTATACTTGGTATACTTGGAAAAGCAGTAACAACTACCATTTACTGAAGACTACTGTCCTTGAATACCCTCTGTACATCTTGAATCTCTATCCAGGCAGAATTGGCTTTTTTCTTCACCCTGTATTTTCACAGCACTTGATACCATCGTTGCACCATTTGATGTGAAAAGTCGGCCCTTGGGGGGCAGACATCGATGTGAGTCCTAGCTCAGCCAGCTTTCAGAGCTATGTCATTTAACCTTGTTCCTGTAGCCATAAATTAGGGATGACGATAATGCCTGCTTCAGTTAATACCCTACCATATAACAGGTGCTCCAGAAATGTGGAATGAACGAATTTCTAGGCCTCTTGATTCTACCCCTTTATAAAACATTAGGGTATGAGTAAGGTTTTGAAACTCAAACTGCTTGGGGAAAAAAAGAGGCTCTTTGAAACAGTTTTTTTTTTCTGCTGTGTAACAAAATGTAATTAAAACTTTCGCGCCTGTGTGATATTACTGCATGTACTTCCTAACCCTTGAGTGGGTTGAGATGTGTGTCCCGAGAATTCAGTCACTGAGCCTGGGGCTGCATCCCGTTGATCGTGCAGTAGGTGGCAGCGCCGCCTCTGCCGGGACCGCTGCGCAGCCTTTGGAACCTGGCGTTTGGGTGCGGACCTTTCCGGAAGCCGCCCCCGTACGCGCTTGCGCGGGGTGCTGCCTTTAGCATGTGGAGCGCTGTGATTGGGCGCTGCGACCTGGTGCGAGCTCGCCGATTGGAAAGAGGAGGAGCGGCGATATGGAGCTTTTACTCCGCGCGTCTCCATTGGAGGGCGTGGGGTGGAGTGGAGCGGGGCTGGAGAGGGAAGATGCCTGGGTGTGGTTGTGGGGCTTAGGCTTCCATCTGCTTAACTGATTTCGCCTCCGCGTGGAGTACTTGCCCCGGAGGTTGGGGGCGGGGGAGAGGCGATATTCGGTATTTTCTTTGATGGGTGTGAGGCTCTGGTGCCTCTGTGTTCAGTCTCAATAATGGTTTTCTATTAAGAGCCTTGGGGGCGGGCTCCAATACTGTCCAGCTCCCAGTATGAGAGTAATTTATTGCTACGGAGCTCTTTAATTAAAACCTGGAGTGCTGTTTAGTACCTACACTGCGTTTTAGGGATCAGGCAGGCCATGAATGCAGGGCAGGTCCTCTGACATAAGAATCAAAGGCAACCTTCATTCCTTGCTAGTTCTTTTGTGAGCACTTACTAGGTGCCATCCCATTTAATGCTCACAGCAGCAAGCTAATGCAGCTGCTGCTATTTCCCCTTAAGGATGAGGAAACTGAGGCTGTTTTCTGACACTTAGGGCCATTGCCTTTATGCTGAAAAACAGCTTTCTCAGTGATTGGTGTAGAACCTTCATTCCTACCATAGTGTCTTCCCTTGGACTGAACAGTGGATTTCTTGCTTTTTAAGATACACATTTTGGGGAGGGTATGTGCTATGATGAGTGCTGTGAAATGTGTAAACCTGGCGATTCACAGACCTGTACCTCTGGGGATAAAAATACATTATATGTTTATTAAAAAAATAAATAAATTTAATTTAAAAATATATACATTTTGGTTGCAGAATAATATATACAGAAACGTGCATAAACCATAATGTATAAATCAATGAACCAAGCAAACTAGTGTAAGAAATGTAAGAAACAGAAGATTCTTCCCACTCAAGAAGCCCTATTGTGGCTCCCATTTCCTCCTTAAAGGTAGGAATTATTATTTGGA